CTTCTGAGGTTTGAACAGGACATTGTGAGGAGTGATGAGAAGCATTTTTGGGCAGTCTGAGCGTGTAGGATTTCAACATGCGCATCGCGCAGCAAGCGCAGGTTTCAGGGTTTGGCTACGGGGTCTGGGATGCAACAGGCGTTTCAGTGACCGCATGGAGACCAGGAAGTGCTCGAAACGAAAACTCAGCAGTCAGATGCGTAATTTGCGCCAGAAACAAACCTTAAACCCTAATTCCTGACCCTTGCAAACCCCAAAACCTCATGAACCCTAAACCCCAACGCTTGAACCCTAAACGCTTACATACATTGCGCCCTGAGCCTCCAGTCCTTGAGGCTCTCCCTGGCGCTGCATGGCTCTCCGAAGCTCCGACGCTGGCTCCTGGGCTCAGGACTCATGGCCCCATACATAAGCCCATAGTCGTCCCAGTACCCTATACGCACACATATATACATATGTATATAGATATATGTATGTATATGTATAAATCTATATATATATATATGTAAATATATCCAGGGTTTTTGTTTGAATCCTTTTGTGGGTTTGGGAAGGGTTTCGAGTTTGTAGATGGTCGGCGTGTTGCCACACATACACACATATGTTCAGCATCGCCCTCCTTTTTGTTGGACTCATACACGCATACCATCGGCGCGCAGTGTTTGAAAGGGGTCCAGAGATTCTTGCTGTCCTTTGTCTTGCAAGACAAGAGGACAAGCTGGCATGACTTGGTAGGCATAATGAGCTGGCTATTCCTGGGCACGTGCGCGCCACATGATTGTACCACGTCTTGGCATCAAAGGTCTGGAAGAGGTTCAAAGAAGTGGCCAACATCATGAAAAGCCCCTGACCTGGTGTGATGAGGGCTAGATTGGCTTAGATCTAGGCGAACAGTCATCCAAAGCAGGGAAAGCCAGTGAGATGCAATGCAAGTGTATTCCCGGTCAGGGCATAAAACTTTATGTGACCATGTTTGCAGTTAAAGCCGTTTGCAACACTTGGTTTTAGGAATTGTTAGGTGAAGATTGCGGCACCTCAGGTTGCCAGAGAAACTTGCTCCCGGCTGATGATTTGAAGCCCAGTCACTTGTAGAATGTCCACTCATAACAATTGATCTCGTTCACCATGTCTCATCCGTGTCCACAATAGCCCTCATGCCCTGGGCAGATGCTGGACACAGCGACTGGCCACGTACGCTTTGGACTCTTGCCCGAGCTTCATCTCAAGAGTTTGGAGGCGTTGAAGGCGATGATGGGAAGGTGGGGAGTGCAGAAGTTCAGGAGTTCGTGGCAGCTTCCAGCCCAGAAGTGTTGTGCACAGGGCCGGCGCAAGTTGTCCAACCCATATACTGATACTGGACAAGACGTCTGATGTGTACGCCAAAGGGGCCAGCTCGACGTTGCTCCAGGTGCATGGATGAGGGACGAATCCCACAGGTGTGTGCGTGTGTAGTATGTGGCAAGGGTACAGGAAGCAGACACAAAGACACATACGCTCTGCACACTTTCCTGCACCAAAGGACTCGAACCAGCCCCGGCTTCCAGCGTGGCATGCACCAGTACCAGGCGTCCTTTAGTTCACGTGTCCGAAGGTCGCGACAGCGCAGACAGCAGTAGAGTAGACTAGTAGAGAATTCGCTGCAAACGGGAGGTTCTGGATTCCGTTACATTTCAAATCCACAACAAACACCTATCAACAAATTTCGTGGGATTCAGCCAGGATTGAGACGCATGCCTCCAAACGCGTTAGGTCAGCGGCTGTAGGGTCTTTGTGGGGAGAGTGTTCGGCTGACAAATTGAACAAAAGGCCATGCAAGTATATGTTTTCCTTCAAACCGGTGGACATATGGAAGCTGTTGAGGAGCATCAGCTCAGCGCTTGTTTCACCACCCCCTACGTCCAAGCTTCCAAGTTAGATCCCCCCAGCGCAAAGAGCTTGCCCAACTGAAGGCTGAAGAGACCTAAGCTCTGAAGCTATCATGTTGGCCCTGTTACCTAATCAAGCATTGTAGATTGTAGACCGTAGCCGCAACTTCAGCAAACAACTCTATGCCAATCCTTCTCGCACGGATTCATGGTATACCCCTACAACCTAAACCCTACAAGGCAGTTTCCATTTTCTGTTCCATTATCCATATACAACCCCTATATATTTATAACCTCAATATAACCGCCCATAGAATCCCTACAAAGAACCAAAGCCCCAGACGAGTCGCGGGCGCTTGGTGCTGCTGGTCTCGCCAAACGAGATGGTCGAGCCCGAGGCAATCCCCACAAGAGCGTATAAGGTAGTTTCCCAAAAGTAGGGTACCCCATATATACCCCAATTTGCTACATTCCTTGTTACGGGGATCCCCAATAATCCGTGTTAAGGTACCCTCATTTTGGGAAGCTCCCATAGTTACTGTAGACGAGCTCTAGCCTCCAAAGCCCCAAGGGCTGAATTTAAGGAATCGGGATTTGAGCCTTGTTGCTGTCGACTGGGAGGCTGCTCTGCTAGATGCTTTTAACTTGATCCACTGCAGCGCAGGTTTAACCAGATGATCTTTGCGGGCCTGTGTCAGGGACAATAACCTCCAGCAGGGTTGTTCAATCAACGTCTTCTTTATTGCGGCCGTATCGTCACGTGCTAAAAGAGCGTAGTGCTCCAGATTAGGACCTTCGGTTCATACTCACAGCTGCAGCATTTCGCACCATTCCACGCGTCTACATCGTGCAATCACTCAATGCAAGGGTCGCCACAGCAATCGCTGAGAATGCTAGGACTCATGTAACCTAGCCAGACCACGTGCAGACCTTCAAACTGACGCAATCCGCATGAGCGGTTCTCCCTGAACCTTGTTTCTCCAGCATTCCGTAGCGCATCTTCTGTTGATGCCCCTATGCAGCAGCCATGGGCGGTGGTGCTGTGTCCTATTACAGCTCTTTTGTTCCCAGATGCAAAGCCGCTAGCCAGCTCTAGTCGCCTTGCATGCAATCCGTTTTGTCCCCACCCAGCCCAAGGCACCCCTGTATACGTAGAAAATGCCTCCTAAACGCCTCCTGAACCAGCCCTCGCAGACCTTTGACATCATTGTTCGGTACAACCCTAGGTAACAACAAGGCCCCATGCGCCCCTATACACTTCCACTGCACCAAGATCCATGATCTCCTGCTTCGTGGGCAGGCGCCTTGGCTTTGAATCCCTCCCTGATGGGAACTGCTCGCAACACGCTTTGTAGAATCCTTAGGTGACACCCCTATTTCCTCCCTACAATCCTCAACAATCCTCGCGTCCTCGCGGTTTCCAAAGGCCGTCTACCCCAGCTACTGTCAGTCGCAGGGGTTCCGTTTGTCGGGAAGATGAAAGCTTCTGTTTGGCCACATCGTGGCAGAGTTATGGCCGCAGATGCCCCACCCATGTAATTTCGTTACCCAGCGAGATGTTCGAATTGAAGGTTGGTTGCGTATAGTATAGTATTGTAGCTTAGCATTGCGCGATAGCCTTCCCGATCATGTATGTTTTTGCTTGCAGTGATGTAGAAGAAATGTTGAAGGTAGCTTTCATGCAGTCCGTCTTGTAATCTATGCGCCGCATTGCTCTGTACATGTCAAGCACACAAAGCTCTATCAAGGGGATGTGACTGGACACTATAATATAAACGCTATATAACCCATTATAGTAATTTCCATTTTGTTTTCCATGATCCCCATATAACCCAAATAGATACCCTATGATACTATAGTAGTTTCCATTTTTCCATTATGCCCATATAACCCAGTTTATATATATATATACACCCTAATGTTACCCCAATGGGTCTTTGAGGCCCGGCTCGTGCACGTGGTACGGCGCCCGACGGAGCTGGTCGTGCTCTGCGCTCGGTGACGGCTGAGGGTGTAAGGGACCGAATTGGTTTCAACATAACTGTATAGTCCCCCTTAAGTAAGTAGATAGAATATGGGTATATGGGGATCTTGTTATAATATAGCCATATTCTATCTACCTAAGGGGGACTATATCAAGATTATGGGGCTGGCATGCATGATGAAACGCTTTTGGTGTGAGGTTTGTGCTTTAGGTCGGTCAGGGATTGGGTAACTCTTCTGTCGCGATGGTGTGGCTTACGCAGGCAGCTTCTAAGGGTTGAATGTGTGAAAACGCAGGAACTATCAGGGACTTGAAGAGCTGAATAGTTTCCATTTTCTTTTCCATTATCCCAGTATGTACCCTATTATTCCTATATTTCCCAGAATAGTAGTTTCCACTTTATTTGATGTTGGTAGCTGAGGGACAGGCATCAGTAGGGACCGATGATCTTGGAACAGTAGGTCGGAAGACCTCATTTGTAGATAGAGCCAGGTGGCCTCGCAAGCCTTCTTGCAGACTTGACCAGCATCATGCCGGCACAAGTCATGCTTGGACGAGAAAGTACTCATAGCAGCGTAGATCATAAAACAGGTCGGCCTACCTCTACCATCGCTGGGCCTACAGGGAACCCTGGGCGAGGATGGGCGGCCCATTTTACCGTAAAGAATCAATTGAAAAAGTGCACTGTTTTCGGAGATTTCTGCAGCCACTTGTGATGCTCATCTGCCGTGTTGCTGAGAAACAGCGCAAACCATCCTTGAGTACTGGCAGCATTTTAGGAGCAGTAGAGGAACTGCCGGGGTTGTTTCAGGATGGTGTAGAGTGCCGTGACTCGAGGAGCAGTTTGGTTCCGGCGTGTTCGCGGGCTTTTAGGATGTGATTTGCATTTTTGCGAGGGCAACTTGAGAAGCATGGCAGGTCACAGGACCGCAATTACTGTAAGACACGATCGCTCCAGACTACTTGAGGTGCCCTATATATGTATATAGTGGCTCATGGGTTCCCATATACCATGCAGGTGCATCGATCTTGAATGTAGAGGCCAGAAAGGCGATGTCCGAGGATTTGGAAGGCGCCCGGATTCTCCGAACTCCGTCTTTGAGGTGTAAAACTTCATAGGATCCAAAAGCAGCAGCTTCATCCTTGGCCAGGCTGCGCCATCCCCCGGCCTGTAACAACTGTGATCATCGTGCGTGGAGGTGGGTTCCGCTACAGGGGATCCTTTTCGAAGCTCTGGTCTCTTGCATCAGGACTGCTCAGGAGAGGGTTTCCACATGCTCTAGACCAGGACTTTCACTGTGTGACGGACACGTGATAGTCCTGGTAGTCATGCGGAGTTTGAGTTTCTGCGGCTGACAGGGCTAAGCAACATTTCATACTGACCGATGACTTTGTCAGAGACTTTGTTTCATGTTCGAGCCTACGCATGAGTGAGCCAAAGCGGGAGGTTTTGTAACATTACCAAACAATGGATATGTACGACCGTGCCTACCTGAAACAAGGATCCCTTGCTAGAAGTTTGCGCTGCAGTCGTGCTGCGCTGCAAGCACGAATCTTCAAGGTTTTGCAGGCTAGAGTCTGTAGCTAGCAATCTCTGCTAAGTCTTACTTTCAACAGGACATGCCCTGAAATGGTTTTGCTGCGTGGGAATCGCAAGCGCCACGGGCAGCTGGGACATGTAACACAGCCACGGAGGTCGTTCAGCCAACTGCAGCCTTAGAATCTCAGCCACTTTGCAAGACTACCATGGCAGCTCCAGCCCTTTCTTGCAACCAACCAACCAACCAACCAACCAACCAACCAACCAACCAACCAACCAACAGCCATATTGTATTAAGCTAGCCTGTGAAGCATGATCGGTTAAGAGCAAGCACGAACCTGCCATGACGGACGCTGATCACGGGCCGCTTCCTCTGGCACTTGCGTATTGCAGCCTGGCAGGCGGATATGGCTTTGCAAATGGGGCCCGTTGTCCTTCATGTGATACTCTGGGGCGCGATCATAACTTTTGAGGGGTGTAAACTGTGTGCCACAAACTCGGGTCCGCGCAAGCTCGCGTAAGGGCGACGCAACGTGCAAGGTCTTGTAGTGAGCTTTGACACGGGATCTTTCAGTAAATGGAGGAGCGTGTGTGTACTTGGGCAATGCGGCAAAACACGAGGAAGGAGAGGAGGGCCACATGGATGCACGCAAAGCAGGAGAGGCAAGGTTCTTGCCCAGTTGGGATGGAGCCTATCAGGACCAAGAAAAGCAGGTCATTGTAGATGGCCAGAATCCAATTTGAAAGCAATTTCGCGCCAGCGCGCGCAAGCTCACCCTGCCGAAGCCATGGGAGACCCGGGGCTCGCAGGTCTAAGACCCGTAGTATTTTGGTGTTGTACGTATTGCTTTGCGAGGAGTGCGATGACATATGGGCTGCTTGCTGCAGCCTTGTTGTCCCTGGCAGCAGCTTGGAACTCTGCAGCCACGCTGGATAATTTCTACACCTTTCAGGACGTGTGGGTAAGGGTCTTCTCAGGATTGAGATAAAGGTGGAAGCTTGTTTTGGGCCGGGCATCCGCCAAGGTTCAAGCTGTAAAGCTTAGGATGCCAGCGGTGAGGATCAACTGGTCGCATAACGGACATCAGAGACATAATCGAATTTCCGTGCCTCCTGAAACTATGCGGATTCCAGCGAGAAGCCTGTGAGAGGAGTTCTACACCGATGCCCAATACGGTCCCGACTTTGGGTGCGCCAGCCATCTTGCTTCCTTTCTTAACATTTTGAAATGAAGCCCAGCAAGAGAGAGAGAGAGAGAGAGCTAGATGATTAGGCAGACTGGCAGTAGTCTGGAGCTGCGGCAATCAGGCTTGTCACCTCCATACCTAGTAGCGGTGAGGTTTATGCACAGGTCGCAATGGAATAGTCGCCAAAATTGTTAGTCGACTTGGGCTTGCATTAATATGGTCTGTCTCTGCGATGCTGTGCAGATTCATTGGCCGGGGCCTGGGGTGGATTCGAGACCGCACTTGCCTGCTTAGGGCTGTGCCCCAGCCCCTCTCTTCGGAGGGGGGTAGAGCAGTGAGAAGAAGAAGAGCTAGATGATGGAGACCGGTCCGTTTAGGAGTGCGGAAGCATGCGGAAGCCCATTAAGGAAGAAAGAAGAAGAGCGAGCGAGAGAGGGAGAGAGAGAGAGAGAATGAGTACTAAGAGAGTAACGCATAATCTGCAGAACAATCGAAGAAGAGTATGAAGAGTTTCATTGGCTACTTGCTTTGTTGCCTAGCCTAGACCTTCCGATCAGAGCCTTCCAGGCGAGTGAGCATCGCTAGTACCGGGGTGGCCACTTGTGAGCTTACATCCTCTCATACTGCTGAAGCAACGGGTTAAGAGGAAGATGCCAGGCATGAGGCTGTCTATCCCCAAGTAGGAGCCCTAAACCCCATCGCCTTGGTGTGCCAACGGCCCCGGCCATGAGATTCCACCGAGCCTGCGAGAGGTACTACTCAACTGGCCGCATTCTGCACTCGGAGCCAGCCACGAAGGAGGCCCCGGCTTGTAAGCCTTGTTGCGGGGTTTCATTCCATCAGTGAAATGTAGGTTGTTATATGTGGGCTCAAACCATTATAAGGGTCCCGATGCATTCCCTCCATTTTGTGAGAAGTGGTTTAGGAATTCGTCGCTGAGCTCCTGGTTTTTGCTTAGACGTGCTCATGTCCTAACTAGGATGCTTGAACCCTATGGCTCGAATCCGTTGAAACGCAGGATGAGGGCAACTTGGAGTACTTCAACTCCTACACCACGCAGCCAATGTAAGTTGGCTGCAGAAACGCCAGACATGTGCGGGGTTCTCACAAGTATGGGTCATTTTCCGGGCAGGCTGAGGGCACAAGTTTTTAGCGGAAGGAGAAGGGGACAGAGTTTCCAGAAACCCCAATTTTGAGACTACATCCTGAGTGTAGCCCCCAATTGCAGCCCACAGAAACTTCCACACCTACACATTTCAGGTCCCTCAGCCCCTTCTTCGGTCAGATCATCGCGGAGCGCTTGGTCAGCATGTGGGTGTCAATGGATCGCCCGACCCCGTCGCTCGGCCCTGTCCATCTTGTGGTTTGAGTGCATCTTATGTCACCTACACAAGCACATGTGAACTAATTACTTCAGAGGCACTTGCGCCATCCCAACTGCGGTAGCTCCTACTTTCACTTGTAATGTTCAACGAGATATCACTGCCCGGCCTGAAGCCATGACAATGGATTGGGATCCCACGCAGCGTCGCATGGGATCGCCTCTTTAAGTTAAGATTTCTCATGCAAGACATGTTTGTGCGGATGCTCTCGATCCAAGTTTGTTTAACTGACCTTATTTGGCAAGGTTCTTCGTGATCGAGTTCGGAGGCCTGGACCTGAAGCGGCATCAACAACATAGTCAGCTTCAAAGAGCAGAAGTCCCACGGGGCGTCTCGAAAACATATGGGCGATGCTCTAGCAAAGTGCTCTCATTTCCGGGAGAGCGCAAATCCATCCACAACACGATTGTTCTGCAAGAAGGGCTCATCCCCATCACATCTCCCTGCTGCAAATAGTCCTGCGCCAAGCACGCACAAGCCTCTGTAACCCACAACAGATAAGAGTTGCCAATATTAACTAGTTCAACTTCCTCTCCTTACTGAAGCACCCCACCCTCTGTGAGTGATCTCGCCACATTCTGCAAGCATCAAGGGAGCGGGGTGGCTCATAGCAAGTTCAATATGACAACCAAGGATTTCAGAAGCCAAAGCCGTAGACAAGTTAACGGCAGATCCCAACCCAAACATCGAACTTCCAACAACGCCGGACACCTTGCAAAGAGGTTCGCAGGATCGTGGCAAACACTTTGCGCCCGAAGCCCTCGATGTCGCATAGCATCTGAACCTTGAAGGAGGCACCGGCATTCTCGCGCGCGACATCCTCACGCATGCGTCGAAACAGCATCCAGATTTCTACAAGTCCTTGCGGCGCTACGTGCCTCGGCAAGTGTTGGCTGGCATTCACGTAGGCTTTGAGGCTTACATAGCTACAGGAAATGGCCTCAAGGGTTGGAGCTATGCATGCAGAGCTTATGTAGCGCAGTCTTGTCGGGTGCACCTGCCCAAGAGGTTGTACAGCAATGGCTTTGCCATAGCCCTATGGTCTTGCCGGCGCTCACAGCGCTCAGCTTAGACCCTAGAACAATACGATAAGCACCCGTCACTATAATGCTGGCTCAGTAGTTTGTATTTTCTTTGCCGTTCCTTCATTCCTTATTGACAACTGCAAGAAATGCATAAAGGTCATCGGCGAGCGCTCCCAGGCGCTGCAGAAGACGAGCCTTGGCAAGGATGTAACCTGCAACTCACATGAGAGTCTCCACTTTTCGAGTGGGTGGGGTGGGGTGTCACTTCCGGAAAAGCAAGTAACAGATCCCAATGCACCTAGCATTGTAACTGGCACCCACCCAAAAGGACCACCATCTTGCACAACCCAATTAAATGCTAGTATCTCCAAATGGCACCCTCTTATATCCATGTATGTGTTGGCTTTCAGAGAATCCCTGCTTCTATGGAATGCCTTTGAGGGTAAAGACTCCCAAGGCTAAGCTGCTAGCGATATGCAGGATCACAGCTGCGTAGGCGTAGGCTTTCTGGCCGGCGGCTCACGGGTTCAGACAGTTGACCTGAGAAATAAGAGATTCTTGGTTAGCTCTAGACGATTCCGGCCCCTTACGCATTCTGTACTAGCGCCCAACCATGCATATGCTCATATTTGAAAATGTATCACTGTACGAGCAGCATTTCACTGTCGACACAGCTGCATGTAGTTGGAGAGTGCCTCATTGATATTTTGCATGTATATAACTGTATATATAAAGATATACACATGGGGGAGGCTTCGCAACCTTGGAGGCAGAAGCGGACCTGCGCAAAGTTCGTGGAGGCTGAGAAGTTGCGTGTGGACAGCACCGATGCGCGAGGAGCCTCCAAGATGACCCTCGGCCTCAGCAGCAGAAACGTTGAGACTCAGTGCCATTCTACATTTTTTTCTTGGGGTATAGCATCGCTCTGATAAGGGAAGTTGCGGGACTGTGGGCATCAAAGAAAGAGCAGCATCGAGAAGGTGGGAGCACCGAAAACCGTACAAATGTAATCTTGACTAGTCTTGCGGGACACTAGTCTTGAGAATCACACAGTTTTTTTCATGT